TGTTTAATAGTATCTTCACAGTTGCTCGAAATTATAATTCTTAATAAACAAACTTCGGTGAAGTCAGCAAAAATACACTGCTAATTCTCTGAAAATCAGTGCACAACTGCTTATAATAATTAAATTTTGATTATTGTTTTAATTTTTTTTGTTAAATCAAGTGATTACTCTGTTACTCTGAAACACTGGATCTGGCTAAAAAATGTAATAATTTTACTTTAATGTCTACATTTAATCTAAAGATGCTTGTGCGAGGCGACTCTCACTCTACAAAAAATGTCCTGTCAACGCCGTTAATTTATTACCAATGTTTGCTGTTATGCAATTCACGGCGTTTGCTGTGAAATAGTTCACGGCGTTCACTGTGATCTCGGTTACAGTGTTCACTGTGATCTGGCCACAGTAAACGCCGTGAATTGGAGCCTGATTTGCAGTACTTCGGTGCTCAGCGGCGTCAAACTCACAGTGTTTACTGGGGACCAGATCACAGTGAACACCGCGAACAAGATCACAGTGAATCCCGTGAGCAGATCACAGTAAACGCTGTGAATTGACCTACAGTGAAAACTGGTAATAAATTAACGGCATTGACAGGACATTTTTGGTAGAGTGCTTGCTGTTCCTCTCGGCTGACATTGACTGAACCATTATTGCAGTTCAGATGGGCAAAGAAATGCAACTACTCGAGGCTACGTCCAGTTACTATGAAAAATCGCGCACTCTTTGCTGCCTCGTCTCTGCTCTGGGGCGCTCTAGTCTGCGCTGGCCATGCCGTTGGTCCCTGAGCGCCTGCAACAGGAGAGGTAGGCTGACCCGCCGCCCACAACTGTTTGGCGGGCTGGCCTGCACTGTTAAAAATAATCGTAAATTTACGACATTTTGTAGAACAAATATGTTGTTTTTAAACGACATTCTTTGATACGACCCAAGTCGTTACGACTTGAGTCGTAAATATACGTCATATTTGTAGCTAATTTTGATAGCGAGACGTTCCGTTTTAAAACGAATGAAGTCGGATATTTGCGACTTAATCGTAAATTTACGAACAATAATAATTTTTTCATGGAATATGTCGTGCAGTTATGACTTCATTCGTACATTTACGACAAATGGTAAATTTGTGCTATGAATCGTAAATGAACGACACAAATCGTAAATAACCGAGCAAAACTGTAACTTTTTACCAACTTTTCGGGGATTTCAGATTTTAAAGTATGTAATCGCGATTACGACATTGTCGCAGAGAAATGACTTTTTAGTCGTTCAGTTACGACGAAGTAGTTTTAGAACGACTTCCGTCGCTATGAAAATTAGCGACTTTTTTGTCGCTAATTTACGACAAAATTTCTGACAGTGTGGGCGTCAGGCGCCCCGGCCAACGGGGAGCGAAATAGAAAAAGGGTCAGGGCGGAAAGTGAAAAAAAAAGTCATTTCTACTTGCCTCTCTCAAATTAGATGGAATTTGGAGGTAAGTCGAGGCCAAAATGTAGAAAAAAGGAGCTATTTCAATATGGGTCCAAAGTATCCTCTTGCATTCGGACACAAGTACGATTTTGTCTAAATGTCACAATGGCATTTAGACACAAGTACGATTTTGTCTAAATGTCAGAATGGCATTTGGAGACAAGTGCAATTGAGTCTTAAGGGGACTAAAAAAAAAACTTCAATTTTTTTTGTTTTTTGATAGTCTTCTTGGAAAAATTTTTTAAAACCCCACCGAAAAACCCCAAATTAGTTAAGTTTGGGGAAAGGTTTTTTAAACGTTTCCCCCAAATTCTCCTTCGGATGAAACAAAGTTTCAGGTTGATTTTATTTAAGGCCCCTGCCTTGAAAAAGCTGCAACCGGAAAAATAAGCAAAACCGAACCTTCCGGAAAATCCCTTTTTAAATTTTTTTCGAAATTTGGGAAAATTTTTTATTTTTTTTGGTTAGAAAAACCGTTTCTTTTGGGAAAGGAAAACCCCCCTTTTAAGGTAGGACATAATTGGACTTTTAGAAAATTTAAATTTGGGAAAAAGGGTTTTCGAAAGGGGAAAATTAAAAAAAATTTTTCGGAAACCAAAAACCCAGGAAAAAATTGAATTGTGCTTTTGGGTTTAACCCTCTTTTATAACCCCGAAACCTAAAAACAAAAAGGCCCTTTTTTTAAAAAGGGGGTTTTAAAATTTTTCATTTCAGTAAAATTAAGGGGGCTCCTCCTGATCAAAATTAACCCCCCTTTTTTTTGTTTTGGGGGTTCTTTTCGCGGGAAGGTGCCCCCACCGGAAAATTTAAAAAGCGGTTTTTGGGGGTTGGGCCCAAAAAGGCATAGGGAGCCCAATTTCCCCAACCATCTTTTTTCAAACATGAAATTGCAAACGGTTGCAGGCCTCTAGCACATTCACGACCGTCCGGGAACACGCGTTCCCGTACGGGAAAAAGTCCAGACGACCATCCGGGAACACCGTTCCCGGACAAATCCGATTTTCCGATTTCGCCTCACAGAATTGTCACGATCATGAGACATATTTTTTTGGAACCGCCTCAACGAAAGACGCAAGTTACTTTTTGAACGGACCTCGTACGATGAATTTGGTAGGGGTACATGATTCCCGGACGGTCGTCAGAGACATGTCCAGTCGGGAACACCGTTCCCGTACGTAAAGGGGCCCCAGCAAGCTAAATGGGGGTTTTTTCGGAATCAGCGGATCGAGCCCAGGCCATTCGCACACTTTTCGATTTGGTTTGGCTGTTAAAACCCAACTCGATTATGACACGGCCGATTCTGCTGCATTCAAAAGGCCGCGTGGAAATCGGGTTGGTTGTAACATCTAAAAACAGGTCGAAAAGTGTGCGAATGGCCTGGGCTCGCTCCGCTGATTCCAAAAATACCTCATTTAGTTTGCTGGGCCGCTTTTACGTACGGGAACGGTGTTCCCGGACTGGACATGTCTCTGACGACCGTCGGACACGGTTCCCGGACTCAAAAACGGCCATGGGCAGCTCACATCTCGAAAGCGACGATCATCTGGGGATCAAAACGAGCGGAACATTCAAGTAGTGTTCTCGTAATTAAGCATCGGATGATTATTTCGTGACTTTAAATGGCGTTTTGTTGCTCAAGGAATACTACGTTCGCAATGACGCGTACAGCTGCCTAGGAGCGTCAAAATCACTTCAAACAATTCCCTTAATGAAAGTGGGGCCCGCAGTAGCAGCGTCCGTACCAAGGCGCCCATAACCTCCAACCACATCGCTTTTATTTTTCATGCGAAACGTTATATAATTTCAGTGAATACGCATCCTAGGTAGGCGTTCATGCTAAGAAATACAGGCAGTGCATAATCGATCCAAATGCCCGATAAACAGCAGAAAAGAAGTCAAAATTCAAGCTTCCCGCGAGAATGATCCCCAGATGGAAGGGAACGTTGTTGGTCCCATCACCGCTAGTGACTCGCAGAAGCTGTTGTGAGCCTGCCCTATACAAGCTTCAAACTGAGACTTCTTGCGTTTTCTTCCTTATTTTTGAAAAATAAAATGATTTTGGTACTCATTTTGATCGGGAACCGTGTTTCCGTACTGCGTTCCCGCATCTAATGTCGTTGGCGTCCACACGGGAACCCTGTACCCGTGAATGGGCATGGCCCTCGCGACCGTCCGGGCGCGGGGTTCCCGGAATTTTTTTTTCGGCTGGTTGGTTTTGTTATTGCATGATTCGTGCTTATATCTAGTCGCGAGGTCTGGGAGATGCATGGTTTGGTCAAAGCAGACTCCGGTCCTGAGGGGAAGTTTGCCCAAAACGAGTCCGGTCGTGAATGTGCTAGGGCGCAGTTTTTGAGCTACAGCGGGGAGATTTAGCATGGAAGCTCCTACGACATGCCGCTATGGTGGGTAGCAAAATTATTTGCATTAGTCAATTTTTATTATCTTTTTAACGTTCAAAATTAAACAATTTTGACCCAAAAAATTGAACAATTTTTTTTGGTATGTAACAAATACAACTTAAAATGATTTTTTAAATGTGATTGAGGTACCCACCATAGCCAGACATCTTAGGAAGGCTGTCACCAAATTTCGTTGTTCTAGGTCAAACCGTTTGGCGTCCAGCGCTGCAACAGTGCGAAATGGTCTAACCTAACACTCAAAAATGCGTTTTCAACGAAAGCGCTGTACTGCCCTGGCGGATTGACTTTGTGTTGTTTTATACTTTATCTGTTAAAATATGAACAATTTTTCTCTTTCCGTTTGGTTTTTATGACGTTTTTACAAAAGCACTGATTTTGTAGTGATGTCCCCCCTTTATGTCTCAGTTGCAGAAAAGAGAAAGGTCCATTTATCCCCTATGAAGCCAAAAAGCTTGAAACTAGATGAAACTCACAGGAAAATGAATTAAGGTTTTTTTAAGTGAAAAAAGTGACTTTTTGAGTGTCAGATGTCTCAATTTAGGGGTAAAAGTTCCTTTCTGTTACTATCACTCTTACTCTAAGACTAGTGCCCCAACTCTTTTTAGTTTCTGATTTACGGAGGATTACGTAAACTTTAAGTCGTTTCTCCGAAATTCTCCTCACGACGAAAGATTAGCTACCAAGTCTTCACATTCTGGCTATTTTATCTATTTTTAACAGAAAAATGATATTTATTTACTTCGCACAATAACATGCTCAGGTTATTGAGGTTATTCAAACACACTAAATTCTTATGGACTTTTTTATGCATAGTTATGCATGCGCAGAAACGTCCATATGTTATGTATAATATTATGCATCGCTGTGTACATTTTATGCAGGAAGACGCATAAAATGTACACAGTGAAGCATAATTTTTTACATACCTTATGGACGTTTCTGCGCATGCATAACTATGCATAAAAAATGCGTCCTTATGCATTTAAAAAGTCCATAAGAATTTTGTGTGAATTTTTAAGCTTCAAGCGCCACATTGTAACAATTGTGGAGAATGATCAATTTTTCTTTTTGCCGTACACGCCAAGTGAGCTTTCAAAAATCAGGGTGAAAGGAGGGGACTTTGGTGCATGCTACTTTTCCTTATTTGTGATGCCGGGGCATCCTGCCCGCAGGTGGATTGTCTCTGTGTGTGGTCGACGATGGCATCGCTGCTGCGCTTCCTCGCAGTGTGGATTGTCGTGCCACTCGTGGCATTTCAACGCAGTCAAGGCAAAAGCATCAACAGCTTCGCCGTAGGTGGAGTGCCATAGACCCTTTCAGTCATCGGCGAGTGAAAAACGAAAGAAATCAAATAGCAGGACCCAGCTGCGCGATGAGGCTCGGCTCGACGAAATAATTAATCCAGTCCAGTCGCCCCAAGACTTCCGGCCCAAAATTATCTCAGCCGAATTGTAATATTAAAATCTTATTTTTTACCCTTTTCTTGTTTATGGAAGATCCGTTGCACATTGCACAGTCTTCCGGAAGGAGGACTGCATTCACGGTGCCACCATCTTCTCCCTCAACTTCTTCCAGTCACAATTCACTCTAATTGTGACCCGCTCGTTCTGGATCTGTGTTGTCACTTCGCCGCACTTTAATGTTTTAACTTCGCTTGAGGGATGTAATCTAAAACCAGCGTCGTGAAGGTCACGTTTAGGCTGTTCTTCAGAGCTGTGTTCAGCAGATGCGCCACGCGGTCCTTCTTGCCTCTAGGGCCTTCCGCACATTGGCACCTCGGTCCGTTATCCACTCGGGGTCGTCAGAGTACACGACTGTCGTCGCAGCACACCTCTGGTCGTGCACGGAAAAAAGGAATTCGTAGACCCAACGAAAAAGTACGTTGATTCCCTGATAACCGAAAAAAATTTGTTTGAGTAACGAAAAGTTTGTTCGCGTAACGAATTATTTGTTGGTACGACGAACAATTCGTTGGTGGAGCAAAAAAGTTAGTTGGAGAGACAAAATCATGACTGTGTTCCTTTGACGGATCTTTTAGTTGCGCTAACAGATTGTTAGTTTCACCAACAAAAATTTCGTTACTCTACAAACTGAAGTGTGTACTCAGTATGCATCTACAGATGCATACTTGCAAGTACACACCTGCAGATGCATACTTAGCTGAGTACACATCTACAGATGCATACTCAGCTGAGTACACATCTGCAGATGCATACTTGGAGAGGTTAGGTATGCATCTGTAGGTGTGTACTCAGCCAAGTATGCATCTGTAGATGTGTACTCAGCTGAGTATGCATCTGTAGATGTGTACTCAGCTGAGTATGCATCTGTAGATGTGTACTCAGCTGAGTATGCATCTGTAGATGTGTACTCAGCTAAGTACGCATTTGTAGGTGTGTACTTGCAAGTATGCATCTGTAGATGCATACTGAGTACACACTTCAGTTTGTAGAGTACTCTAACAAAGTTTTCGTAACGCCAACAAATTTTTTCGGTTATCACGGAATCAACGCACATTTTCGTTGGGTCAACGAATTCCTTTTCTCCGTGTGGACGGCCTCGCGCAACTTCTCTACCCCCGTGACCCCGCTCGTTGTTGGCGCTTCATCAACCTGTCATGGTAGCGGCGGCGCCAATGTCGAGGTCTGACTGTACTACACCTAGCATACCGGCCGACACGGAGGTGCGCATAGAGGACAGAACCTATGGAACCCTCTCCACCGGCCTCTACTGTCAAGTGATACTAGCATGTCCTAGGATTATTTGTCACAGGAATTTTCCTGATTTTAATCATTTTGTGGTCAAAATTCAACCGTTGTTAAATGAATATTCCCAAAGTTAGGGGTCTCACCTCCTATTAGTTTTTGAGTTTTGGAGGTTTACGTAAACTTTATGTCGTTTCCTCCAAATTCTCCTCACGAAAAAGGATTACCTACCCAGTCTTAAGGTTATGTGTTTTGCACTGTCAGTATGACAGAACAACATTCATAAATTTTGACTCAAATCTGACATAATGCACACCCAACTTCGTGCCAACCGTCTGTAGCCAAAAAATAGTTTCGTTTTTTTTTTCAGAAAAAAAAAAAACAGTTTTTTAAAGTCTTTTTTTAAATTTATTTTTCGTGCTTTTTTAGAACCCTAATTTCTAGATGACAATGTAGGTTACGTGTGAAAATAAGTAATGTTTATGCGACTGATACACTGAAAACTGAAGGTGCTACTCTTCACTCTGTTTCTAAATATTTTTCCTATTTGTTTTCTATTTTCTGTCTTGTAATCTTGTACCCCCAATGAACCTTCACAGGACAGACTTCAAACAGGTTACCCTTTCACGGCAAAACGTACAGAACATATCTACTCTGTTCAAGAATTAGGTTTAGCTCCCAAAAAGGAGAACAATTTGGTTTGGATTTTGGAATGTTTTGATTACCAGGGACCATACATCGTCTACGTAAACACATTTGAAATGTGCCCATCGGACGGAACACATACAAGTCATTTACGTCTCAGCCACTTCAACCCCGCTAGACCTTTCAGCCGGCAGACTTTAACGGGGAATGTAACGTTGCGGAAAGATTTCACGGACAACTATATGGTAAATCGCGTGCTTTAATTCTTTTGAAAGAAAGGCTTTGACAATAGACTCATATCGAGGAGTAACGAAGAAACCACTCTGCAAACGCAAGCACTCTCATTCCAGGAACGTGACATCACGTTGAAACGAACGTGACAAAATGTCACGTTCGTTTGAGCATTGTGTCACGTTCGTTTGAATGTGAACAAGCTGATTTTTGGCCAATTCACACCCAAACGAATGTGCCACAATGCTCAAACGAACGTGACATTTTGTCACGTTCGTTTCAACGTGATGTCACGTTCCTGGAATGAGAGTGAGTGTGTGCATGGCTTCTGTTTTCAATGTGTGCCTACATCCACTTCAGACCAGCGCCGCAGAAAAGACAGGCGATTCCCAGGGAATTTCCAAAAAAGGAAAGAAAAAACGTTAACGCTAACGTGAAAGCAGATGATTCTGACGAGAATGTTAATTTTAGTGTATCGCAATTCATGATTAACACGTGCATGGTTCAATGGACGAAAATGTTATTTTGATTTGACTATTGAAGGTTCTGTGCGAACAAGTTTCTCATATGCAACGCTCGACCAGCCGCCCAACCAAGTTTAATCCCGCATTGTGCTTGAAGGCGGAAACGCAGCACCAGAAGCCATGCTAATACGACAACCAATTTTAATATTTGGAATTTTGAAAATTTGAATGGTGCATTGCAAAGAACGGGAGGATACACTGTAAAAATTAATATCCGGAATAAACGAGGATCCTTCGGCAAAAAAATTGCCAACGGTTCCTTCGTTAATTTACGAAGCTCTTCGTATATTTACAAAAACCTTCGTTATTTTTTTGAAAGATCTCTGCTGATTTTCCAATTACAATGGAAATTTACGAAGCACCTTCGTAAATCTACAAAGATCCTTCGTAAATTTACAGGGAACCTTCGTTTATAAACAAAGAAACTTCGTTAATATACAGAGATTCTTCGTAATTTTACGTCTGGAATTAACGACGGATCCTTCGGCAAAAAAATTGCCAACACTTCCTTCGTTTATTTACGAAGGTCCGCCGTAGATTTACGAAGACCCGTCGTAGATTAACGAAGCCCGTCGTAAATTTACGAAGCCCTTCGTAAATTTACAACAGATTTTGTAAATTTACGATTTTTCTTCGTAAATTTACAAAGAACCTTCATGAATTAACGACGAACCTACGTTGATTTAAAGTTCCTGTAGGAAAGAAACATTTACAGTGCACTTTTGGACATTCCCAAAAACCCTTCGGAAAATATTCCGTCGTAAATTCACAACATATTTTTTACAGTGTAGACTTTGACTACCAAAATTGGTGCCCGGCCACAAATTTAGGCCTACGCATTTCAAAGGTGTGCTGTTTGGAGATGAGAACACTGTTTTACATTTCAGATATTCGTGGATTTGGCCACACGATCAAACAACCAATGGAAAGAAAACGCATTCATCATGAATTTTCCTAAAGTAGGATGCTCAACGTGGCGTGAGCAAGTGCCGGAATTTTTCCACTTCTTTGCCAACATCAGCGGCGCGTCAGAAGATAAGAACAAACCATGTCGCATCCCAGCAGTAAGGGAGACACTTAAAGGGTGTCGACGGCCTAAGGAGATAGTGAAGCCACGGTCGACCCTTCGCGGCAGGGGTTACGCACCTCTTCGGTGCGGTTGTTTTCTAAACTCTGCAGAAATGGAAAGAGCATGAAATGGAGGGTGCGTCAGGCTTACAGCGGCTATAATAAGCCCTTCTCGGTATCCGTAGTAGTGTTTTCACGAAAAATCATTTTTGATCGTGACGTCACATTCATCGCTCGATTCATTTGTTACCAGTGCTCTTTTGATGTCTGCAAAAGCGTTTTGCAAACACCGGACTGGTTTTCATCTTCTCGAATAAATGCGTAACCACTGCACATCGCTCGAGCACGGCTTCGCTCGCTCGGCCTTTGCCGTCCCCCGCAGACACACCGAGCCACTGCTTTGACATTTCCGCGAAGCACCTTTCGCTTGTCAGTAATTTCAAAATAACCTCGAAAGGTGGTCCATATCACCCGCACTTACGGTAATGGCGATTGGTACCGATTAGCAGTTCGGTAATCGTTAATCGAAAACGCACACGATTAATCGAAAACTACTTATCAATCGGAAGAAAACGTGCTTAAAATAGCATGCCAAAAGAGGATAGGAAAACCATTTAAGCAACGTCGAGTGTCTGTGACGACTTTTCAGCCTTCACTCAAGCAGTTTTAGGCTTCCCCTCGGAATTTGAACAGATGATGCATAGAATGTCCGGTGATGAGACGATTACACTGAAAATCCAAGCGTGGGACAGGCATGCACTAGATAACGTGGGACAAAGTCCCACGCTTGTGAGCGTGGGACACGGTTTGTCCCACGCTTGCAAGTGTGGGACACGGATTTGTCCCACGCTTGTAAGTGTGGGACACGGATTTGTCCCACGCTTGTAAGTGTGGGACACGGTTTGTCCCACGCTTGTAAGCGTGTAACACGGTTTGTCCCACGCTTGCAAACGTGGGACATTTTGTCCCACGCTTACAAGCGTGGGACAGTTTGTCCCACGTTATCTAGTGCATGCCTGTCCCACACTTGGATTATCAGTGTAATCGGTAATCGATCATCGGTAAATCCTTTGTTAATACTTCGATTAACGAACCATTAATCGTTGTTTTGAAACAATAGGACTATTAACAAAATAATCGGGATTATTTTCGATCAATCCATTAATCGCCCAGGCCTATGATGGCATGGCACGGTTTACCAAGAATCAGGTTACTTTTGCTAGTCAGAGATCAACAAGGCAGTGTGTTATTTCTACACTCTCAGACTGTTATTGACTTTTTGCCCCCTTTGTTAAAAAGTATTTTACACAGCAATGAAAAGTACTATTTCCTCAATATCTATGTATGATTTCGTTCCTTTCATTGACTTTAAGTTAAATTGCTATCGATAAAGAGTCAATACGCAATTGACTTCAAAAATAGTCAATAATTGATGACAATTTAGTCTTTAATGCACAATTTTAAACATGGCTTAAAAACTACGTAAGCAAAGGACAAAAAGTCAATAATGGGTAGAAAAAAGTCAAGACGTGTCTGAAAGTGTAACTAGATACCTGGTTGGTTCCTTTTCAATTAGACTGTCTGGTAAATTGGCACCAACATCCTGGTTGCTGTAACGCGCCTTTTTTTTTCTACGAGCGGTGTAGACCACGTTTGGATTCTCAGTGTAGACTCAGTGCCTTTCTTACAGGGAGAATATATCTTCAAGAATGAACCAATGAAGTGGAGAACTCCGAACTTCAAAGTGATGCCGTACGGTCGCTATCGGATGCGTATCAAGATCCGAGACGGCCCCACTGTAGTAGGATGTAATGAGCTGGACTGTGAGGCCATCCCCAGGCCGTCTTGAGTTGCGCTGTGTCCTAAAACCACACACTTCCGATAATGGCCTGTGACGACTCCGCGTCCCCGTACTTCCCGTTTGGTGGGTGAAAATCCTCCGAAGTCTGCTTTCCTGCATTGCTTGTCATGACCCGAGTTAAAATAAAAGGTTGACAAGTACTGACGCTGTTTCCTCTATTGTTGGCTCTTACCATAGTACACAGTCCGTTCTATATGGCATTCCATAAATACTCTGCAAACTCAACAGTGTGCTCACTCAGCTCACTCTGTTCAGCGTGTACTCACAAGTACACTCCTACGAGAGTGTGCTCAGATCCTGGAAATATATGCAGTTGAGTACACGCCCGTGGGACTGTACTCGTGAGCACACGCTGAAGAAAGTGTTCGTCAGTACACGCTGAAGAGAGTGTACACTCTCATTCCAGGAACGTGACATCACGTTGAAACGAACGAGACAAAATGTCACGTTCGTTTGAATGTGAACAAGCTGATTTTTGGCCAATTCACACCCAAACGAATGTGCCACAATGCTCAAACGAACGTGACGTGATGTCACGTTCCTGGAATGAGAGTGTACTCGTGAGCACACTGTAAAGAGAGTGTACTGAGTACACTGTTGAGTTTGCAGAGTACTGGACGGGCTGAAAATGACATTGTCTGCTGGAAGATGCCTGGCCAGCTGGAATACTATGAGGCCAGCTGCCCCTTTGCCGTGTTCTTTCCGACGACACTGCGTTACGGCATCCCAATGGACCCCACCAATCATGTACTTTTAGCAGGTAAGTGCCCTTATCCAAAGATTCGATGGGTGCCTATTGAGTTAGAAAATACTCCGGACGCAACAAAAAGTTACAGGTCCTGAAAGCTATTGTAAAGTGCACACTAAATGTTAATGTACAATTTTGTACGTGGTGTGGCATTATTTTAAAACTGTATTTTAATATTGTGTTCAAATTTGCATAAATTTATGCAATTTTACGCATACAAACTCCACGTGTGCACAAAATCGTGCTAGTTACACGTCGCACAAAATTGCACGTAAACATACAGTGTGTGCGAATCACCTAACATCTCAACAATGCCGTGAAATATGAATGACATGCATTGAATTAGTATGTCATTTTGGGACAAATAACGAGACAAAGATTGGGATTTCACGCAAATTCCATTTATTTGTGAAAACATTCCTCGCTGTGCGAGGAGGGAGGCGTGTCATCTTGACTGCCATTTACAGCAATTTAAGTCACACTCAAGATGCGCAGAAGGCACTTTGACCAGACTTGAATTGAGCACCATAAGATTACAAAAAAAAAACAATCACTAACAGGGTAAGAAAATCATAAACATTGAACGTGGACATCACTAATCATAACCTTAAAAGGTATTACAATACCAAACTACTACAGAAGCTTACAAAGTAAAAATAAGACAGAAATTTAAAAGGTCGTGTAAAAGAAATTCCTCAGTTTTGCCGTATATCCGACTTGACGATACAAATATTGAAACATCGGGACTTCATATTTTTAAAGACCAAGCGAATCGAATCAACGAATTTACAAAAGTCGTTTCTACAGATCTAGAGGAAGCTGAGACTTCAATTAGACAAACATGCTTATCGGCTTCCTAAAATTATAAATGCCACGTATAAAATTAAAACGTACTTCAAAATGTTTAAAAACACGCTCTAAAATAGACAAGGCCATGTTGGTAAGGAGAGAAACACCAGCTTGCACTTGATCTCTGAAATAAATAAGACGGGATGTGCAGAGAAACTATCCCAGTGAACCCATCACTGTGGCCAGGCCGGAGCGGTCGCCCCCAGCTCTCTTGCCAAGGCGTTGTCGCTGCGGAGTCTGTGGTTTGTGCCGCCGATGGTGGCTTTGCACTCGTTGCACACCGACTCCTGCATGGCGCCGCCGCAGTCCCCGATCACGTAGAAGTGGCCGTTGGGGCACTTGTACCAGTGGCCGCTCGACAGCCCAACTGCTTCCTTCACGTAGAGAACCTCTTCGATCCTTCCAAACTTTTCAAGCTCCTCTCGTACCTCACCGTCTCTACCCTGAAAGAAAATAACGAAGTCGTTGAAACCACATTTCGAAAACCTTACACGCCATTTTACGCGTTGCATAGACAAGTAATCATAACAACACGGCAAGAGCAGCGCATTGAATTTCCAGGGCCGCCCTGGAAAAAGGTGTCATTTTCCAGGAGCCGCCTGGGATCTCCATGCGTCACTATTGACGTGAAGTTCACTCTCAGACCCATGACCTTTATTGTCTCTTGCTTATAAAGTTGACTGAGCAGACGTAAGTTGTACTCTTTTCTCTTTAACTATGCACAGTTTTGGTCGTTTTTAATATAAAATTGTCCAAAGATCATGTAAAAATTAAACATTACATTGCAAATGACAAAAAGTCACGTTTAATGGACTAATGACCCTTTATAATGAAAAATAATCGTGCAAAGCTAAATAGAAAATAGTACATATTACGTTTGCTCGAAAAACTTTTTGGCAGGAGATAAAAAGTCAATGCGAGGCTACGCTTGACTTAAAGCGTTGTCTACAGGCGTACTCTACAAATCGAAGAGAATACATTGTATGCTTTAACTGGAGCATGCCTGCAAGCACGCTCTAGGGTCAGGGCGGGAAGAACTGGACAGGTGAAGAACTGGACACCCATATTTACTTCAAATACCGTAGGCACAGGAATAACAACTATAGTTGTTCCGTAGCATCAGCGGTTCATTACACGACAGTTGTCAGGCCAGCACATACGGCATTTGAAGTAAAATGTGGGGTGTCCAGTTCTTCCCCTGTCCAGTTTTTCCCGCCCTGATCCTAGCTGGCGCATGCCTGCCAAGCATACACTTACTAGTGCATACATGCCATCCATGTACACGCTTCCTGATGCAGGCAACTCCCTATCCCTTTCCCTTGTGCACTAGATGCATGCTTCAGTTAGCGTGCATGTATGCACTTGTAAGTGCATGCTTGACAGGCATGCGCGGCTAGCTCGAGCGTGCTTGCACACACTTAACTTCTTACACTGAGAATGAATTGGTCACCACCATCGCCCTTTTAATGGGTGATGCAACTTCGTTGCCCAAATTTTGGTGACGAAAAATTCATCACCCGAAATTTGGTAACAGGCGTTAGGTCGCCCAAATTTGGGTAACGCCGTCGGCGACGCCGTGAGGTTCGCGATGACGTCCATCCGGAGCCACCACGATGAGGGAGGCCTCAACGCCACATTGGGTCATCGTGGTGGCCCCGGAAGAGCGTCATGGGGGACCTAACGGCGTCGCCGACGACGTTACCCAAATTTGGGCGACGATTTTCTGACTGCCCAAAATTTGGTCACCGCGAGCTCGTCACCCAAATTTGGGCAACGATGCGTGCGTTACCCAATGAAAGGGCGATGGTGGTGACTCTTTCATTCTCAGTGTACGGATACATCCTATCTGTATTACGGACATTTTTGTGCAATTGCAATTACGGATAGATTTTGCTTGTAATACGGATGAAATCACCCTATTACGAAGAGTTTTACGTCCGTACCATACGGATATTTTCGTCTGTATGTTAGGGACGTAAAACTCTTCGCAATACGGATGATTCATCCGTATTACAAGCAAAATCTATCCGTAATTGCAATTGCACAAAATGTCCGTAATACAGATAGGATGAATCCGTAAGAAGTTTAGTGTGCAGGCATGCTCCAGTTGAGCATACAATGTACGCTTTTCGATTTGTAGAGTAGTTGTATGCTTGAACGAAGCGTAAGCTCCAGTTTCACACCCCAAATGAATAAGATGTAAGTCAAATGAACTGCGATTAAGTCTCACCATGTGGTAGGGTCCAACGGTTTCGGATAGCTCGGATCAAAAGGTCTGGGCCTGGGATGACAAAAACCCGCTGCACTCCGCCTTGCACAGCGCTGCCAGGCGGGTGAACCGAGTCAGCTCCACGTTGATGTCCTTTCCCGCGTACCAGAAAGGGCATTTAGACTGCTGGGGACGAAAGACCGTTGGAACAAGGGAACATAATTAACCGCTGCTTGGTGTTAAACTCTTTTTGTTAAAGCCTTCTAATTGAACGCATAAATGAAGGGTTACAGGCGCATCTGCTCACTCTGCAAACACAAGTGTGTGCATGGCACACAGTAACACCCAAGTGCTTGTCGGACACACTTTGAACTGTATGCCTGTCAGGCACACAGTTCAGAACGGCCCGCCTGACCAAGGGTGCTGCATGGGTCCTAGAACCGCTGTTCTTAGGTATGCGCCTGACTAGAAGTTTAAGCCTAACAAGCACACTGTTTAAAATGTGTGCAGACAATTTGCAAAATGTGTGCTGCACAGTAAAGTCTACCAAGCATCGGTTCGTATTACGAAGAAAACGAAGGCATTGTGAGGCATTGCTTTGTAGTACGAAGAAAAATCCTTCGTTCAATGAAACAGTTCTTCATAAAACGAAGCAATTCTACAATGCCTTCATTTTCTTCGTAGATACGCAGCTAAAGCAGTATAGACTTTTCAAAGTGCGTGCACCCACTTGCGTTTGCACGGTAGAAAAAGCTCAAATGCTCATTTTGGAGTCAGAGACGAAAACGAATTCTGAAAGCGCGTAGCTAGATAAGCGGTCTATGAGATCATTTTTTCACCTGCCCATAGTCTCAAAATGTAAAAGTATCATCGCTATATGGCAGATATTCGTCAATGTGACCATCCAATTGAGACTAGGCTCTGATTCGAAACCAAGAGCAGCGTCACAGGTTGAAACACACTCAATTCCTAAGAACTTTTTAATACATACTTATGCATGCACATACGTGTGCATTTTATGCATACCCTCGTACATATTTTTCAGTGAACAGACAGAATTACAGGCAACGGAAAAGGGTCTCACCTCCTGGGCACTGAGTCGCACGAGGTCGCGGCGCTTGATCTCCCGGCAGAGCAGCTCGACGGCTGCCTCCAGCTCGGCCCCCTTGGACTCCGTGAGGCGAGGCCGCGCCTCGTTGCCACCTTGTAGAGGCTGCTCAGGGCGGACACGTACTGGTGGAGGCTCTGGATCCCCGTCAGGCTCAAGTGCGGCGCCGCCCGCGCGCCCTTTTTGCGGCCGCGCGCCCTCTTCTCCACCTTGCCGAGGTGCAGGTCCACTGTCTGGACCAGGTCCCACAGGGCGGGGAAACCTGGGAAGAGAGTAGACGGTCATCTTTGAAGCGAATGCTCCACAACACTGGCGAAACAAAGGCATTATAATAGGAAATGTGGCGAAACAGGAAAATTTGGCCCGTCCCCATGATTTAGAAATCGTGAACCCTCACACACTCGCACGTTACTGACTTTTTTCTCATTAATTACGTTCCGTATAAAAAGCAATAATACTTAGAATTTGCTGAGTAAGTATGACTATTTCCTTT